TTTCTTCTGTGTTTTTAAAAAATATACAACTTTTACCCGGTGGATTTCAGAAGAAAAGTACCTTCCGAACTAGTCAGATATCAAATAGTTTTCAACTTAACCTTTGCATATGATTTTAAGTGTAAGGAGAACTTCTTCTAGGAGATAGTAAACTTGCTGACAACAACTACAAGTCTTAAACTTCTGCACATTGAATATTTTTCTTTTCTTCTCTAGTTTTCAACCAGCTATCCCTCATTAGTTGTGAAAAATCTGAAATTAGTTGTGAAAAAAGTATGTCACCTAAAGCTTTTCTTGATGTTCAGTAAACTTAACAGCAAAATCTACTTCAAGTAGAGCTATATCATAAAGCTGAACTCATCTTCCAGCTCGGTTAGAAAGGGCTCATCCCTCTTTTTTTCCCCCCTCACTGACCTCTGGTCACAAAATCCCTGTCCCTTCCCTTGTGCTGGCTCTGGCACTCCCTGACCCCTTGCTGAGCTGGCTACAGCTAACCCAGCACAGAACAAATCCAATAAAAAGTGAACAGTTTTCTGTTGGGTTAGCAAGCCGAATCAGCTTAGCAAAGGGTGAGACTAGTCTTAAAGCCAGCACAGGGCATACAGCAGGAGCTCACAGGCAGGAAGAGATGGCAGCGAGGGGCTCAGCCATACCTTCTAACTGCACCAGCCGTTAGCCCTACTCCAGCCTGCTGCATTTGTTGCCCGGGAAGCTCAGATTCTCCTCTTTTGTGCCGTGCAGTTGTATACTTGAGCTGTACTGCAGTTTAAATCTCAAGAGTAACCTATTTGCAAGACAGTGCTAGAAACACACATATACAAAGCGACTTTTCAAGTTCTTACCTTCCCTGAGTATGAGCTCAGCCCATAGGTTGTTAAAGACTTTCCCCCAACTAGGACAACATCCTCGCCAAATTTGTAGGATGACTCAAGAAGAGATTCAACTGTGAAAGGAACTGCTTCCATGCTCTCTCGATCTCGATCCCACTGGAAAAGGTCCCCATCCAAGGAAGGAATTATCATCTTATTTCCAAATACCTAAAATAATCAAATTGAAGGTTGGCTACCATTTAACCACAGTTTTATCAAAACACGCAGATCACAAACGGAAACAGAAATGCTGTATGAGCAAGTACACTGCTTTATAATCCAGTGTCCTATTTTATGGTTTTGTACCCCAGATTCCTATTTTTCGAAGTTATACTGAAGACAGAAAACTTTCAGGCATTCAAATCAAATCTGTACTTCACTATTAGTTAAAATTAACAGTTCAGCATGTGACACTTCTTCCACTTTAAGCAAAACATTTTAAAGCTCATGATTGATAGATTAGAATTAGTTGATAGATTAGAATTCATCCAAACTGTAGAAAATATAATATCAGGAGAAGCATTATTGAAGAGACAGTCCTGGTTAAAGTGCAAGTTTTGCAGATTACCTGTGATAGTTTCAAGACAGTGGCATTGTAGGTGAAGTTCTACTTCACTGTTTGTTTGTTTCCAAAGCTAGTTTACTGCAAAACACAGAATCAATTGTTCTCTGTACATGAAAAGACTGAATTTGGTTTTAAAAGAAAAGCTGAGGCTGTATGTGAACTCTCTTACAATTAATGACTACTCCAGAATATCCTTCTGTAAAGCCCAGACAGCAGTTATCATTGAGATCAGAGCTCACATTTCACTTTTGCCTTTCCAGACAGTTAAATCTAACTTCGCCTCTCTGGAGTTTATGTTTAAGTATACTGTTCCTTTAAAACTTGCCTGACTTTTTCTTAAACACACAAGGCGGGGGGGGTGGGGGTG